CCATACACAGGCATTGACTGCAAAACACCTCACGAGGTGTGGACTGGAAGATCTGCTGATTACTCAAATCTGAGAGTTTTTGGCTGCACAGCTTACTAATATGTAAATGAGGGTAAGTTAGAGCCGAGAGCTAAGAAGGGAGTTTTCATGGGTTATGGTGCTGGTGTGAAAGGGTACAGAATTTGGTCTGACAATAAAATTATACTGAGTAGAAGCGTAGTTTTTGATGAGAGCTCCATGCTGAAAGCCAAAGAGAAGACTAGTGATACAATAGAGAAAGAGGTTGTTGTTGAGGAGGTGAAGGTGTAATTTGTTCCACAGGAAAATCAAGCACCTATGTTGGTCGAAAACCAACTACCACAACCAGTTTTTGATGAGCAAGATACAGGTCAGTTTGAGACTGTAATACCAGGAACAGGTTCTGATGAAGTTGTGCATCAAACTGTTGCTCTAGACAGACCAAGAAGGATCAAAGTCACACCTTTAGCGAGGTATAGGTTCGATGATTTGGTAGGATATGCATTGCTGGTGGCCGAGGAGATGGATGATAATGAGTTGTCCACCTACAAAGCTGCAATATCTGGGAGTGAGTCAGCACAATGGCTTGCTGCAATGGAAGAAGAGATGGAATCTCTTCATGAGAATCAAATTTGGGAGCTTGTCAGACTGCCTGCTATCAGCACAGTGAGTCAGCACAGTTACTTGCAAGTGGGTGTTCAAGAAGAAGGAAGGAATTTCTGCTGCAGAGGGTATAAAGTACAAAGCACGAGTGATTGCAAGAGGTTCAAGTCAGAGAGAGGGAGTAGACTACAACAAGATCTTCTCACTAGTGGTTAGACATACCTCAATCAGGGTGCTGCTAGCAATAGTTGCACATCAGGATCTGGAACTTGAGCAACTAGATGTGAAAACAGCTTCCTTACATGGAGAGTTGGAGGAGGATTTATATATGACGCAGCCAGATGGATTCCAGGTTTAAGGAAAGTAGAATCATGTCTGCAAGTTGAAGAAGTTCTTATATGGACTAAAGCAGTCCCCAAGGCAATGATATAAGCGATTTGACAGTTACATGAAGCAGATTGGCTACAACAGAAGTCCGTATGATTGTTGTGTGTATTACATTGAGGTACAAGGTGGTTCATTCGTTTATTTGGTTCTGTATGTTGATGATATGCTGATTTCTGCTAAGAGTAAGTCAGACATCCAGAAGTTGAAGGCTTTACTCAGTGCAGAATTTGAGATGAAAGATTTGGGTGTTGCTCGTAAGATTTTGGATGTTGAAATCTATAGGGAAAGGAAGAAGAGAAAACTCTTCTTCTCACAAAAAGGGTACACCAAGAAGATGTTAAGCAGATTTTGAATGTCTTCAGTCAAGCCTATAGATACTCCAATGATGTCTAACTGCAAGTTGGAAATGTACTCAGTTGAGACTGAAGAGGAGAAGAAGTACATGTCTCGAATCCCATATGCTAGTGCAGTTGGGAGTCTGATGTATGCTATGATCTACACTCGACCAGATCTAGCATTTGCTGTTTGTGTGGTAAGTCAATACATGGTCAACTCTAGAAAGGAACATTGGCAAGCTGTGAAGAGGATTTTCACGTATCTTAGAGGTACCTCTGATATCGGTCTTTGTTATGGGAATGACACTCAGTGCTTAGTTGTTGGTTATTCAGATTTTGATTATGCTGGAGATGTGGACAGTATGAGCTCTATGACTGGTTATGTGTTCACTCTGCGAGGTTCTGTGGTAAGCTGGAAGTTAACTCTACAACCTACAGTTACTTTGTCTACTACAGAGGCAGAGTATATGGCTTTGACAGAAGCGGCTAAGGAGGGAATATGGCTAAAGGGACTGGTTAATGATCTAGGCCTACATCAGGATCAAGCTTTACTGTATTGTGACAGCTTGAGTGCAATATGCTTAACCAAGTATCAGGTCCATCATGAGAAGACAAAGCACATTAAGTCAGGTACCATTTTCTGAGGAATGAGAAGATAATCCAGGTGAAGAAAATAGGGACAACTGATAACCTTGCTCATATGTTCACCAAGCCCGTTCCTGAGAGCAAGTTCCAACACTGTCTGGACTTGCTCAACATTAGAGATCATTAGTTGCCCTGTGGGGCAATTCTGAGGCAGAGGGAGAAGTCTGTTTATCTGGCACTATCATGGTGCATCTGAAGAGTCTACCTGGAGGATTCAAGTCAAGGAGTAGATTTGTTGTGATGACTTAAATCTGAAGACTGAATCACACACTTCGACAGGTAGCATTGGGGTCTTGCTCTACCTAGCCGTTGTTGTAATCTGTAACTCTATCTCTAATCGAAATTTGATCTTCCTCTGCCCATGAGCCAAATTGGTGAACCATGAAAATCTGTGTGTTGTTTATTGTCTTTATCATTTTCGATTTTGTTATAACAAATATTATAGTAAATATTTTAAATTTCATAACATAATTAGTGTAAAAAAATTTATACAATAAATACTAGAATTATTCTTATATGTGTTTTGATCAAAGACACGTTAAATATTCAAAGAATATTGATTTACATGAAAATTTTAAATTCTTTGTATTTGAAAATTTTAAAAATTACTCAATAATTATTAGAAGTGAAAATATCTTTAATGCTTGTCAAAATATACCTTCAATATGGTGATCAAATCAATTGATGTTGAAAAAAATTGTGGCTTGAATCTCCATAAAAAAATTACAATCTGAAAACAAAGAATTGACTTCAAAAATATTGTATCTTATATCTAGTGTTTTTTTCTTAATCTTTTAAATCTCCGGCCAATATCAAGACATTAATTTACAATAACGTTATATTTTTGAAAAATGTTCTGATTGTTTCATTTCAACAATGTTAAAGTTGTGTGAACAATATATTATCTAGTTTTTAAAAATTACACAATGCAACTTCAAATTTATGCCTCATCATTCATATGACAATTTATGCCTTAGCAACATTTTTCTACAATATTCAATCTTGTAGATTCTTCAAGTCTAGAAATATCAAGTATTATTAACACATCAATAAGAAACTCAGTATTAATCTTTGTTAATGTCAATTTGATTCTATGTGTTACTCTTTGACAATTTATCTTTGATTATAGCAGCAAGAAACTCAATAAAGATGATAATGGCAACAAGAAATCAATAGATCACTCCATCATGTGGAAGAAATCACTCATATATACCATCAAACAAAAATGAAAATAGATTTTCCACACCAGAAACACATGATTCATTTGAGTGAAATTAAGTATATGATAACTCAAAATAAATCCATTCAAAAATACTATTGTGTTATAAATGATTTAATAAATTCTCTTATATAACTTATGCTACTAATCATAAGTAGTTATACGAAATTAACTAAAATTAATCAAAACTTAAGTCAATGTTTCATCAGCTGAATAAGCTTGATTCTAGTATATTTTTAAATTATAAGGTTTTGAATATATTTTTTATATAAATTATTTATGCAAGTTATAACTAAAAATTAAAAATTAAAATTATAGTTAGTGAAAGTATAATAAATTAAAGATATTCGGAACTTATTTTTTAGAAACATATTTTTGAAAAAATCATACTTTATTTGAAAACGAATTTAATTTTTCTAACTTTATCAATTTATTACAATGTTAATTCTGTAAGCATATCAACTTGGATCAGATAAAAAAAGGAAAAAAGGGATATTGCATTCATATACTAAAAGTCTTTTTGTATATATGTTAACCAAATTGCTGACAGCTATACCAAAAAACTTGATATTCTGTTGTTTTAGAGTTGAATAATATGTATAAGTGAATGAACTGTAATTACATATAAAAACATAGACTCAATAATGTTTTATCACTGATCAATCAAAACCCGTTGAGGTACTAAACATGAAGATACGTATTGAATATACATGGATATCCTAACCCTTCCTGTACTTCGTAAAGACACGATTGTGCTCTCGATGGAAGGTCCACCAACACCTTCGCCCAGTCTCCTTTTCCCCAGTTCCTACTATTATAACTTGCGATGCGGTTCATGTGGTATGATGGGTGCAGCGAGTAATGTGATGCCTCTGGTTGTGTTGACGTACTATGTAAGTATGGTACAATAAAGCCAGGTTAGCGTAATCTGACCATCCAATTTTTTGCTAAAACCCTTCCCAAAGGGGGTCTTTGTCCACTTTCCAATGTCACGAAAGCGTGTTGCGAATTAGGACTTCAGCCCATGTCTAAAGAGTCAGACATTGGAAGCTGACTTACATTCGAGTGGCAAACATAAAGACAGACTTCAAATTCGACATGCTTCATAATAGGCATATTCATATCCAGAAGGTGTGACATCTCATCCTCTCCAGGGTTTTATAGACACAATACTCTTTTTCAACTGATATCGACAGAGATGGAAGACCGGAGATCCATTCAAACATGATTTCAGTTGAATAAGCTCCAGAAGTGATTGATCCCACAACTGAAGTTAAACCAGACCACCACCTGATAACGAGACAAAATACTCGATATATGGTGCACTAAAATTGACTACTGGGACTACATGTATGTAATCCCAGTTGCATAGCTCTACGAAGATCAGTGAAATCCAGATGGGACGACGCACGAGTGCGACTAGAAGCCTAAGAGAAGAACACTAAGTAGCATGTGCCACTCCATGATCTAAGAACAAAATGAACACGGACAGTGTACATCTTTGATGTAAAGGACCATGCAGGAGTCCAATGCTGAAATTCAGACCCGGAAAAACACCCTTAATTGTGGAACCATCGTGATTTCCATCGGAAAGTGGCCCAGTACTTATGTAGAAGCAACAGCTCTCCTTGTCATAAGTTTCTGTATTACAAAAACTGTAGAGTGGCTTTGCATATATCCATGACCTAATGCTACTTGGATCAAACCCACCTGCAGTTGATTTCAACCTGTAAAAAATGCATACAGCCAAAGAAAATGACATATCTGCGAGAGAATTCATATATAATTCCCCATTCGTAGGAACCAGAATGAACCTGGCCAGCAAAGATGGCAGCCAATATACTTCATCTTTAGGCTTCTAAAAAAGATAATACGAAACAATGAAACACACAGGTTGTACATGATCCTGATTATAAATACATAATCAAGACATGAAATATGCACATGCTATACAATTGGTGTGAGCAAAAACTAAACTGCGAATAGCTACAAATTGCTGTACACTTACTGCTTGCAAAGCACTAGAGGTATAATACCAATCATATAAAAAATGCACTTCGTTACACCACTTCCACTTTCCGATGATGCTGTAATGGACATCTATTTGTCTTGGCTTTCAAGAACAAGAGTGTGTTCGAGAGCAGTAACACATCGTACAAGTATCAAGCTTTTCATCCATGGTTAATCTCTTTCTCATACCTGTACAAGACGAGACATTAAATATAATACAATTCGCAGAGAAGCCAACCGTTGTTTTCCAAACAGAGAAAATCCAATACACAGTTTGAAAACTCTCAACAAATACGCCCGGACACGAAGAGATAAACACATGAAACCCAACCTGCAGGTGGAACCCACATCACAGTCAATGCAAGACATATCACCAAACATCAGGAGTAACACCTTCAACCAGAATTTACTTTTACTTTGTCCATCAAACAACCAAAGAAGCGTGGAATATCACAGACCCTGTAATGTAATTCCATCACAAAACAAGGCAAATAATTAAACCAAAAAGACGGGACAAATGGCAGACAGGTCATCCTCCTCAAATAGACAATTTGTTTATCGCAACGGTCCGTGTACAAGGGTGAATAAAAATGCAACCCAGTCACAGCAGACAGCTGCATGTATGTGAAAGAACCCCTGATCGGGGTTTCTTACAAGTTTAGAAAGGCAAAACTCCATGCAAACGTAGATATACATGGTGTTCTACATTATGGACCTTGGGACATGACTAACTATGATACACATGGTCTCATCCAGTATTAGTTATATGCTCCAGCTCAACCACGGATCTCCTCAAGCATGACTCTGTTGCTTGAGTGAAGCAACCTTGATGCATACTCGTGCACCGCGATGAAAACCTACAGCGTATAACAGTCTTGAGCCGAAACGAATGCTTCCCTCTTACGTCTCCAACAAATTTAAATCGTCGGTACTAATGGATGAGACCACGAACCCATGCTCCTTCCACCAACCACGCCTGGTTTCTAAATTGTCAGGACCGACGAAAGCATTGACAGACCTCACCTGGTCTCTGTAGTAGATTGATACACTTGAGGCAATGTATAATATCAATTGTGAGGCTGCTATTTTCAAGGTCGATCACAATGTGCAAAATCTTCAACAATCTCCAGTTATCCTCCTTCCCCTTCTGCTATTCGAAACGTCATTGGGGCTTTTGATACATTGCAGAATGGTGAAGTACCTGCAGACGTAAAATTCATTTAGATAATCGTAATATGCAAAAAGCTCTACGAATATTGATCTACATATGAAGACCAGTGGCTGGAGGCAATTGCCGACTCATAATCTCCGTAGGCCAAGAGGCAACCATCCATATCGATAACAAAGGGCAACTGCGAGAGAAGTGAACGTGGATGAAGAAGGGGCAAAAACAGATTTCCAAAGGGAGATTAGCAGATAGATTATAATCACAAATAGTTACATTTATCTAGCAAGAATGGTGAAACAAAATAACAGAGCAATGAAGATTACAACGATTAGTATTGATATATTCAGTAACAGTACAAAAGTGAGAGTGATATTTAAATCAGGACAAAGGTAATGGTTGATTAAAAGGCTCGACATAACACTCTAGAATTATTAGCCAACCGAACATCCATTATGGTTTTAATCAGTACAGACAAGTTCTAATAAAAAGGTGAAAGAGGATCGTGCATTTTTTTCATGACTACGAATTTGTCGAAACAATCTACAGAAGAGAAGAAGAGAAGGGGACAGCTAAACCTCGGAGATAGTGATAAAACAGAACATAACGTACCAAGATTGGAGATCGCAAAGGGTACACTCTAAAGGCGACAAATATGACTAGAGGCCCAACTTTTTGAACTTAAAAGGACAATTAAGTATCACTATCAAAAGACTTTGCGCGGCGGACACTGCATAAAAACCAAGACTAAGAAGCAGCTATATTTGTTAGAGTTTACCACGATCACTTTCAGATGTACAGTTGGATATTACACATCAGCTTGTTCAAATTCAAGACTTAGCATAAAATTCCATACATGGATAATAGAAAGGCTTGGTCATGAGATAGGTCTCTTACCACTAATTAAATATAGTCAATCCATCCGACTGAGAAAGATTCCTTGTGATGTGCACCTTCAGAGATCAAGAGCTTGCAAACCAATCTCCTTAACAAGCAAGGACCCACTTCGCAACCTTCTCTGACTTCCAACGATGATCACTAACTTGTGGTTGGCAAGTCACTAGTTACTTGTTCCAGAGACAAAAACCACGGCGAAAATTACAACTCCTCAGATCCACTGAGAGCTTTTCATCAGTAGTGCCCAATCCGCTACCAACATCCCAGTGAACTGTCGTTTGATTTATCTTGCGTTACATTTGTGGCCTCCTCTACAGCTTGTTGAGTGTGCAACTCTTGTGGCCCGTCTGACAGAAAAACCTCCTCAATCAGCAAAAATCCGAACCTATACTGGAACAAAGTGGCAGCCCAGTTGCAACTGACAGCCCTCTCAACTGCATCATCTGGTCCTCGTGCTTAACCCGAAGTGGCCAGTAGGCAAGTAATAAGACGGCTTGATCCCTCGTGCTTGACCACCATGGCACTTCACCTGTTGTTTACCTTCAAACTCTATATACAATACACGTACATCTCCAACTCAGCCCTGCGACATCATCCTCATCTTCGCCTGTGACCAAAAGTCTGACTTCCTACTAATTATAACTTAGTATTATTACTGGTAGGGTAATCAGAGTCACAGTGCATGGGTGTGGCCGATACAAACAGATAGAGGACAGGAATCAAAAAATGATGTGATGGGAGTTGGCTGGAGTGAACTATGTAGACAGCTTTCGAACGGAAAGAAAGGAAAATAATAGGAAAGGGCCGCTAATAGAATTCACAAAATTATCTGAACCTTGATCTGCTGCCTTGATAATTCACAAGGGTGTCTGAGCTGATTGATCAGTATCTCGGCCGGGTCGAAAGAAGTTTACTATGGATCAAAGGATCTGAAAGAGATCTTCTCCAAATGAGTTGGCCAATCTTCTCCCAAAACCTTGGGATTCAGATCCATGGCAACTTTCAAATCGAGGGAAGAAATTAGGGCCCTGTGTTTGCCTGGTTCATCGCATGATCCTTCACCTGACGATACAGTTCCCTCTCTTGATGGGATGTGATCTGACCAGGGGCCATTCAACTGCTTGTGCACAAGAACAGCATTGTCCTTTCTCGCTTCTTTCCCAACACTGCCACCATTCTCCTTTGGGCCACTTGGCATATCCCTGTTCTCTCCTAAGTTTCTCGACCGGCGTGACTTGACAAGCTCTATAAGCGGTTGGATTATTGCCTTCAGATACACATCCAAAGCTTTATTCACACAGCGAGCTGTCTCGAGATTTACATCCTCCAATCCTTTCTCTGCAGCCATTAGCTGCATACTTCTGTGCAACCTCTCAGTGTCCGGTAAATAATCACCGTCCAGAATTTCCTCCTCTAGCTTATCCCCAAGCAAAGTTTGAGTGACAGGGGGTGGCGGGAACTTGTTGATGAATCTTTCCACGCGAGGTCCCCCATAGCTGACCACGCAGCCCATGGGAGGCTTGATAAACCCATTGGGCATACCGAAAATGTCCTCCTCGTCACTTTCCTCCTCATACAAATCATCTTCCGCATCGTCCACTTCCATCTCCCTGCCGACGTGACCTGACCCAGATTTGCCATCTCCGGGCAAGACAGCTCCGGACCCTGTAAACCCAAGGCGAGGTCGCTTGGCCGCTGGCGGAACTGGACTCGAGAGCTCTAAATTCGAGTGCTCGGCGGGATAAGGATACTGCTGGACTGGCCGGGACATGTCAGGGGTCTTAAGACCTCCATTTTCCAAGCTCCTCGGAGTTTCCTCGTCCGCGCTGCCTCCTTGAGACGTCGAAGCTTCACCTCTGTGGTGAAATCCCAGCGGACTCGGCCTCTCCTTGGCCTTGCGGTCGCGAATAGCGGACCGTCCCTTCTTAGGCGAAGAAGGAATGGCTCCATCGCCATTGGTGCGAATTGCCGGTACAGGCGATCCGGGACCGGGCTCTTCATTGGAGATGGATGCCACCAAAGGCTTCCTCCGAATGCCCTTGACGGGCTTGGAGATGTCGTGCACAAATGAGGAGGGAGGAGGCGGGGGCTCGTTGCAGAGAGCATTGGAAAATATAGCTCGCAGAAACTGGTTGTGCAGGACGACATTCTCCTTGCCAATTGTGGACAGCACCTGCTTGTCCAACTCCGCTTTCGAGAGCTTGAAGCTCAGAAAGCTCGACAGCAACTGCCAGTACTGCGTCTCCTTGGCCTGCCCTAAGATTTTGAACTTATTCTTATAATCGTGCAGATTAGCCCTCGATGATCTCTGCACGGGCGGCATCTTGCCCCGCCCGCTCACTACACCTAACTTCCACTTTCCTCCAATGTTGCCACTCGCGTTCGACCGCTGCCCCTACTTCGCGGCCTCGACGTCGCGCGATGCCATCTACCTCTCCTCCATCGCCAAATCCCTGCACCGCGCTCCGACCTCCGACCCCAACCCTAACCCCCAGGCCTGCTCGCCCCAACGCGCTCCGCCATAGCCAGGCCCTGCTGCTAGGGTTCCACGAGCATCGACGACGAAACGCGCCCGTACTCGACGAGGCCCTGCTGCCACCACTCGGGCCCCGCTCGCATCCGCGCTTGCCCGCCAACGCGAACACCCGCGATCGCCCCGCGCCTGCGCCACGCCCCCTGTCACCCGCGCGCTCTCACGCGGGCCCGCCCCTCGCCCCACTGTTTTCCCAGCGTTTTCGACTGGCCAATGTTGTCCTTTTTCCCTTGTATACACACATCGTCGTCGAGCCCCTCGCCTCGCGCCCTACCATCCGCACCCTCCTCTTCCTCCCCCACCTCGCGGCGCCATTAAGATCTCGGCCTTCATTCTCTTCACGCCCTCTCCCCCGCTGTCACATCTCCTCTCGTCGCATCGCATCGACCTTCCTGCAGTCGTCGTCGTCCTCCGAGCCGGGAGAAGAATCGGGGCCCTCTCTGCTGCTGGATCGATCGACTGATGGCGCCAATCACTGGCAGGCTGGCAGGCAGGCGGGCAGAGCCCGAGACACAGCGGGCGAACGAGCGACGGAACGATGGAACGACGCTAGATTCTTCCACCTACTCTTCGCAATTCTTTTCTTCCACGAGTCCTGTCAGTGACTTGTTGTCTGCTGGCCTTCCTTGGCTGCTGCGGCGGCTTTGGCCAGTTTCACGACATAATTATCCAAATCCCCATTTTAGACGACAAGATGTGAGTGACGTATTATCTCTTGCAATTGGCTGATTCCCTTTCGTTCGAGCACACCCTCCTCCCTCGGCTCGTTCATCCGAATAATCAATCCATGCATCATCCATCCGCCCCCAGGTGCCACCATTCTAGGCTGGCTGGGGTTTACGACACTCCCACCAAACCCAAACCCATCCAATGTGCGAGCCGCAAAGGCCCTCCTCCTCTCGTCCCCACCCATGCACAATGGCCATGCTTCGTCTTCTTAGTCGCACATGGCAAGATGTGAGTTTTGCTTTGTGTCACTCGTACCAACATGTGACGTCCTGCATGTACTTTTCTCTTCGTACCGCAGGAGTGGACTGGAGACTGGAAAGTGGACTCAAGAGTGAAGTGCGAGCGAGCAAGGCATTCTATCCTTGCATAATATCATGCATGGCAATGCACGCACCGCCAACAGAACCAGAGATCCATCTGCTCTAGGCCAACCAACCAACATCATCTTCTTCTTCGACTAGAAGAACAATCCAACCATTATAACTGTTTCCACGTACCTGACCTGTGCTTCGCAAAAGCCAGCCAAGTGTAAAGCAAAGACTGCAGTGTCTATGGTGACCATTTGGTACAATATCGACAATCCAGGGCATGTCAGTTGAGCGACCACTTCTTCTGTAGACAAGACTCTTCGAGTTGATGAGTTTGCCAGCTTTGCTGGAATGAGAAAGATGCATCATAAGCTTTGAGGTGGAATTTATCTCTCTAGAGGCAAGTACGTTGTTTTCACATGCATGTCAGGGCTCCAGTATAAAAGACATGGTTGGTGGCTGGTGGTGGAATTTGGCGTGAGACAGATGATGAGGTCCCGTGTCCATGGAGTCGAGCCTGGAAGTGGGTAAAATCACATTGCTAGGACTTTCGTCCTCGAGCCTGTCAATTGAAGTCCACAGGTATTTAGATGGGTATTAAACACATTCATTTTCAGAAGAGAAGGTTTCATACAAGAGACAGTTGTTGGCAATAGACACAGCCTTACTCAATGTCCAATGAGGACCAACATAACTTTCTCATAACCAACTTCATTATAATTTGTCGATGCAACAGTCTTTTAGTTTTCAAGCAAAATTATCCCTATAGATGTATCTGTCCTTAACAAAGTATTCATCTCACCATGCGCAAGCACTCCAATCCGGACGTTTTATTGTAGAAAATTGAGAATAAACATCAAGTATGAAAATGTATCAGAAACAATTTGGGGGTGATAGATGTGTTGCATGATGATGACATATGGACTCATGGAAATGCTGTTCGCATGTAACTTGTTAATGAGTCCTGTTGTACCTTTTCTATGCACTGGATACAGTATGATGAAGCATAGAAATGTCGTACAGACTTCTACCATCGGGCTGTGACACATGATGAGTGACATTCTGTTATGTTAGCCACTATGAATAGTGGGAAACAGTTGTGTAAGTATTAGGGAGACTCCGTTGTAACACAATGGCAAATAAACGATGTTTACAATTAAAAAGTGACAAATGTCACCACTAAATATAAACAAATTGCAGTTGTCTTTACAAACATTTCTTAACTTGGAAACAACCTCTTTAGTGAATCAATTCCACTCCTCCAAAGAAGAAAATTTTACACTCGAGTGTTGACTTCCAAGTACACTCGATTCGATGAGAACTCCAGTTTACAAACAACATGCTTATGATACAACTTAAGGTAATTTGTGAAACATTTGACTGAAAATCACAGTCAAGGGCATGCATTGTCTCGTTGTCATATGTTCTATAACCAAATGCTTTTTCGTAAATTCTGTTGAGATTAGAGACCATACTCAAGATAATTGCATGGTTGTTGTTTAGGAGAGCTCAGCACATGGCTAATTTTAATATAGTGCAGTTTCATTTGGGTTGAGATTCTCATTGAGTTGTTTAGCATTCACCAATTTGTGTAGCTTCGACGCGGTCAGTAAAGAGTACTTTGGTTACACTTGTTGTCGTGTATGCGCCTGGTATTGACAGTTTAAAGCCACTACGTGGTTGTTCAATCCTATGTGTCACAATTGCTCACGGTTGAAAACTACTTTGTGGTTGTTGCATAAGACAGAGAGCATATATGTTCTCTGTAGTATGTAACATCAACGTAGTAGCTTTACATATATGAAATATGTAGAGGTTATCCCACATTTTCAAACAATTGGCACATACAGTAGAACATGTCTAAGTTAGTACTGACATTACCGGAGTTTTGTATTAATTTAGACATGATATTAATGAAGAGAGTTTCTCCGTTCACGTCATTTGTAACATTTGAGAGTTGAGGCTTTCACTTGGGATAGCACCCACAACCAGATGCACAACACAATCACTTCAAAGAGGTCCATCAATACGAACATGATCAACGAGGTTTGTATCGCTCTTTGTGAGCACAAGCAAAAGCATCCATTGCGCACGCAAGCGGACTTGACCAAGTGGCTTCAGGAGACGCATAACATTTCTGTCAGTTAGGAAACGATTTCTTTGACGTTCAAACCCTCAGCTAAAAATCCATGCTAAGGAGGATGTGAATCTAGCGGCAAAGCAGCAACGGACCGTGAAATACCCACTAATGGAGACAATTATGTACCAGTGGTTCCTCACATATCAAGACCAAGTCAATATGTCAGGTGACATAATCAAAGAAAAGACTGTGTACTTTCTTGCTGAGCTCTACCCTGGCTACAGAGCCTTTGAGTTCTCAAATGAGTGGCTGGATGCATTCAAGAATCGCCAAGGCATCAAGTTTTACCGCCGCTTTGAGGAGTCTGTATCCGTCAATATGGCTCTGATTGAAGAGAGCTTGCAACAGATTTGTTTAACTCTGGATGAGTCTGAGCGACGTGACATCTATTATATGGATGAAAGCGTATTGTTTTACAGAATGCAGGTAAAAGCAACTTCTATGGTATGTTCACTGCCAAACCATTGACTTATTTTCACTAACATATGACATCTCAACGAATAAACAATTCCTTAACCACAGAGCAGCCTAAAGGACGCAAACAAAACAAAGAGCATCTCACGTTGGCTGTGTGCTCCTATGCTGATCGCTCGAAAAAACTTCCATTTCTTGTCATTGGCAAATATTACAATCCTCTTTGTTTCAAAAATGTCAATCGAAGTTACTTTGGATGCAAGTACCGAAGCAACTTGAAGGTCATCTTTCTTGAATGACTAAAAGGGTTTAATGCGCGGATGGGAGGACATAATGTTTTCTTGATTATAGACAACTCACATATACCGTTAATGTAGCTCGCATCAGTTGTTACATTATGCAACACAACCGTGTTTTATTTGCCATCAAACATGATCTTGAAGATTCAGCCGATAAATCTTGATAATTCTTGCAACGCAAGAATTATCTCAAGTCTCAAAGCTTACTACCGACGTCATTTTAATCGTGTTCTCATTCAATGACTTCAAGACAAGGTAGTAGACATCAAAAGTATTGACATCTTTGAGCCTATGCGCATTGTTGTTGCAGTCTATAGCATAGATTTGAAGCCAAAAAAAATCCGCAACTGCTTTTGTCATTGTCAAATTTGCACCATCGATGCTGATGTGACACCTGTCTCGGATAAGACGCTTATTGACCTTGAGGTGATCAAGGACCTTGAATAGCAGGTTCAAGAGCTTAAGTTCAAAACCTAATGAATACTAGCAATTTCATCAACTATACTACTGAGCGCGAAGTTGCTTATGTAGTAGTAATCCGACTTTGGAGTAAAATGTGCAATGTAAATGTGAATGTGCAAATATGCAAGATCTCTGCATCAATCATATGCCAAAAGATGAAGTGAAGACCAAGAACAGTCCAGATTACATTCATATGAAGACAATTGAAGCATTAATGTGCGCAAGTTTGTTGCAGCAGTTCTGGATGCAAAAAGACATCGTTGACCATGAGATGTTTGCTACCATCCAGACAGTCAAGGACAAAATCAGCATTATGAGGTCTAGCAAGCTTGTCCAGATGCCAATCTTGGAGTATTTTTCCAAGGTTTATTTGCCCAAATATAAAAAAATTTGAGCTAAATCTATGTCTATATAGTGGTTATCAACATAAAAAAAAGTGGGACCGCCAGTGTAGTAGCAATTATTAATTTTTGGAGGTTTATTAATAAATGTATGAAGCCCAACTTTGAACTTGACAGCGCATATTAGTTATCACAAGTTATCAATTTAGGCAGTATTAATTTAAACAGTTCTATTTTTCTCTTGGAGAAGTATAATTTGAGGTACATATACTGTATCATGATACACCGTTTCAATCACATCTATCTTATAAGTTGTAGGCAAAGAGAAAATCAACATTATGGAAATGAAACAGTCAGAAAATACAAAGTTACTTCTCTATGTTTGTGAATGTTTAATTTGATATTGTACTTCGCAACTTTAGGGTCATACAATGTCACTTAAATTGTTTAATATTTTTGTGTGTTTAAGCTATGAAGCCAAGGTTTTTGTCAGATTTACACAATCTTTAATAGTAATCTATCATCGGTATAGATTTGTTGGATCAATAAAATTATACTCTTAAATTTTTGTCTCAAACATATCAATCATCTTGATTTAAATAAACGAGACATCCATTTTAGATTTCAACTAATAAGGAAACTTTTAAAAAAATCTTAAATATAGCTTAAATCTTGGATGTAGTTTGTATGTTTTCAAAAATTTTGCATTTTATGTTGATGATTTCGACCCAATAAAGCAATGCTACGGTGATGACTTTGACAGAAGATGCTTTAGGGTTGTAGAATAAGTTGATTGAAAAAAAATTAAACAAATTACCTGATGAAATCCTCCAAAACGCAAAACACTTGCTTAGATTCAACATGATTCATTTAATACTATGATATACCTTTTATGTGTTTTCAGCTATGCTT